TAGTTATTGTTCTGATGTGTTGTTTTTCTATTTTTATATAGTGTAATGTCATTTAATTTGATGTTGTTCCTACTTTTTAAATATATTCCAAGGAAACCACTTTGCTTGTTTCGCTGCGTTGATTCCAATAATGAAGTCCGTCTTTAGCTGTGATAATTTGTTTTAACATTTTGAATGCTATAAAAATACAAATTAATAAATTACGATTGACGGGTAATTTGGTTTACAATGGCAAACATACATACATACATACATACATACATACATACATACATACATACATACATACATACATACATACATACATACATACATACATACATACATACATACATACATACATACATACATACATACATACATACATACATACATACATACATACATACATACATACATACACACATACACACATACACACATACACACACACACACACACACACATACATACATACATACATACATACATACATACATACATACATACATACATACACGCACGCACGCACGCACGCACGCACGCACGCACGCACGCACGCACGCACGCACACACACACACACACACACACACACACACACATACATACATACATACATACATACATACATACATACATACATACAAACATAATTATATATACAAATACACTTTAAAAATATACATATACATACATAAATAAAATCACAATATAACACTAATAAAGAACATAATATTGTCGTTGCTGGTAGCCAGTGTGCCGCGCCCTGTTTGTTGAGTTAATGCTGTTTCTTGCGCAAGTACACACACCGGTGACTACCTAGACGATCATATAATCGATTTATGATCGCCTAGGTGACTACCCATCTAAACCCCATGTCACATGTGTTGAACAGAGGTGCCTTTCGTACTAACTGTTGTCACGTTTGCCTCTGCTAATTGTAAAGTAAATGGGGAAAAAATCAATACAAGTGGAAAAAAACAACTTCTCAACGTTGTTGTTGTTTTTTTTTGTTTTTTTGTTTTCGTTTTGTGTTTTTGTTTTGTTTTGTTGGGGGGGGGGTGCCTTTGGTTTGGGCTAGAATCACCCTTTCTAATTCTGTCCGATTCCTTATCTTGCCTCACTTCACTCACAAACTTCTCATTTTTAAACCCTAAGATAAGGAAAGCTGCCCTGTGCTCAGCCAGACCTTTGTGCTTCCACTTTTACTATCTCCTAAACAAAGCAAAAGAGTCAACACAAATTAACAGCACCTTCCGTGGGTTCCCGTGGTCGAGAGGTTATGGTGTTCGCCTCTCATTCAAAAGGTCCCAGGTTTGAATCCGGACAGCGACGGAAAGTTTTCGTCTCTAAAATTTCTCCTATCACCTCTTTTCCTGCGCTCTAACATTGTTCTGTCGTCTGCTTTCGTTTCCACTTTCTGCCCCCACCCCGTCATCTCTTTTGCCCCCTCCTCTGAGCTCATGACTCTTTCTGCAGCCTTTCTTCTACTCCTACTCTTTGGCTCTTTACCTCTGTCTTTCAGGCACGCGGGGCCGGGTTTCAAACCCATACACCCAATTACTACCATGAGTTTTGTGTGTTCAGGCAGGCTTATGTGGGGTTTTCCAACTTGTTAGACCACATGATTTTTTAAACTTTTTATTTGTAACATACCTGAAGGTGTTTTACACCATCACCAACACTTTTTTAGATCAATCATGAGGCAGGCTTCCGACCAGGCCTCTCAGGGTGTAGTCTCGCCGAGAGTCATACCAGAGAGGGTTTACAGTAATACTATTATTACTATATTAATAGTATTTCTGTAAACTCTCTGGTCATACTCCATCCTTGGAGATACTCCATATCAAATTCTGGCCTCACGAGAATCGTACTCGGGTATTCAGCATGCCGGGAGACCGGGGACTTTATTGTTGAAATCAGGGGATAAATTTTTCCTGGGAACAGCGACTGTACAAAGCAAATATCTGGACTTGATGGTATTATGAGATCAATGTGGCCCGCAGACGATGAACATTTTGTTTATAAACCAATTGAATGCCACGTTCTATCGTAAAAGTAATAATATCACATTCGTAACCAGCGAATCAAAATGAACAAATTGACTCGAGATGATTCTTTTACTTCCTGGATTTAAGAGATGTGAAGCGTGCTGACAAAACGAGTTACTTCTCAGATTCAAGCCTTAAAAACAGATTAATCACGCTTATATGTGAAGTTTTTACAGTTTATTAGTATGAAACAACAAAAGACAGGTTATAGTTAAAGAATATGGCATTAATCTACAAGTTTGACCCTAATGTCGATTTTTGGCCAATATCTCCATTAGTGGATTGCGAGAAGTAACTCATTTTGTCAGCATGACTCACAGATCACAAAGGAAAGGGAGTGGCGTCGATGGCCTAGTGATTAGGCTCTCGGACTCGCAACCGTAAGGTCGTGGGTTCAAATCCCGTCAAGGGCCCGACGTTGTGTCCTTGGGAAAGGCACTTTACACGAATTTTCCTCACTTCACCCAGGTGGGAATGGGTACCCAGCTATAGACAGCGAAAGATCCTGTCAGTTTGTTAGTGTTTGAGCGTTTAATCAGCTGCTTGCACTGTATGCTTCCCGGGAAGCTGAGAATGTTTCGGAGTGTTCTATGGTCTGCTGGGGTAATAATATAGTGTAAAGCGCATAGAGCCTGCTGTTGAGCGGGGATATGCGCTATACAAATGCTATCTATTATTATTAGTAGTAGTAGTAGTAGTAGTAGTAGTAGTAGTAGTAGTAGTAGTAGTAGTAGTAGTAGTAGTAGTAGTAGTAGTAGTAGTAGTAGTAGTAGTATCATTATTATTATTATTATTAGTAGTAGTAGTATTATTATTATTATTATTAGTATTATTATTAGTATTATTAGTATTATTATTATTATTATTATTATTATTATTATTATTATTATTATTAGTATTAGTATTATTATTATTATTATTATTATTATTATTATTATTATTATTATTATTATTATTATTATTATTATTATTTCTACCAAGATTTCACCATAATATTATTGCAGGGGCTATTTTCATATCTCAAATAGGACGGACTTGTTAGATTTAACTGATCTTTTAATATAGGGCCTACCTATATAATATTATTCACAATTAGCAGAAGCCAGCTTTGGGACGCATAAACCCTTGGGTGTTTTCCGCAAGCTGTGCGAGATTAACGTAGCTTTTAAAAAAAACTGACCTCAATTTCGGAATCAGGGCATAAAAATAAGCAAAGTGGTCCGGAGTGAACCTGATTTGGTATCATGTTTGAAAATATGTAGAGAAGAAAATTGAGATTAATAAAAAAATTAAAAAAAGATTGCCCAACAGGTCGAAAAATATAATTTCCTTCAATCTCCTTATTTCGACGAGGTCCTGATTTCACCGTTATGACACACAAACACACACACACACACACACACACACACACACACACACACACACACACACATACACACACACACACACACACACTCACACACATTTAGGTATTGTATAAATAACTATGTTCTCTAACCTAACGTTGAGTCAGCTTAGGTTGACACTTGGTCAGCCCGCTTTGTTCGATTTCTCGGAAGTGTGTAGGCTAAAAATAAAAGCTCCGGGTTAAGGCCTACCAGTCTCTGTTCTTTCAGTTTCAATATTGCGGTAATCTTTTCATAGCGAGTTCATTCGATAGTAGAGGTGGGCGATTCCGGTTTTTTTACGGTAACCAAAGATTCCCGATTATTAAAGGCTAGGAATAGTAAGAATCGATTCCGAATCCAATTACTTTAATTATAGCCTGTGTTTTTACGAAGATTATTGGCCACATTCCTTTCACTGTTTTGAAAATATGATAGCATAGACGTAGGGTAACAAACACACTAACAATGTCATCACTTAGAAGCCCCCCCCCATGTGATTTTTCGGCCTACTTTTATTAAATGCTAGGGATGAAGATGACGAATTATTTCCAAATTTTTGGTCACTCTATGCGAGGAGTTGGGAATGAGGGTTGTGTCCTGCCCCCCAGGACAGCCTGGCAGGGATCTAGAGTAAGCACCAAACAAACTTATCACTAAGACTAACACGCATATCATTTCCTACATCGGAACATCATCATCGCCAACATAAATAATCATCCTCATGCTCACCATCACAATTACCATTACCGTCACCATCGCCAACAACATCATCATCATCATCATCATCATCAGCATTATCATCATCATCATCAGCATTACCGACTCAACAATTCCCCTTTCATATAACAATCTGCACCATTACTTTCTTTTTACGTAACCAACAAAAACGGGCACCAATATCAGGACACGGAAAAAAAAAGAAAAAAAAATTATAGCCAGTGATGTGATTTCTTCCAGTGGCTTTATGATTTTTTCCCAGTGGTTTCGACCCCTAGCCAGTATCATGATTATATATATACAGCGATTAGCAGTTAGTCCGACCCCTGCAATTACCTCTGGCGAGTAACAATTAGTCCGACCCCTGCAATTACTTCCGACGAGTAGGAATAGTCCGACTATTTCTTGGGGTGAGAGGGCGCTACCCCAGGCACTACTCCACCCAATCTGCACAGTGTGAAGTCAGAGAACCAACACTGACCTACACCGAGAATGAGAGCCTATAATATAGAGTCTCGTGGGCAGACGTTAGTTTTGGATTCTGAATTGAAAGAAGAGTGAATATAAAAACAACAGATGAACGAGAAAATGGCGAAAGCAATGAATACGTTTTGACACTGTGTATACTAAATCGATATATAATCTTTGACAATGAATTTGCATCCTGATTACTCTCGGGATAACTTCGATTTCAGAACATAAAGCTCCAACATTTAAAAAAAAAGAAATTAAACTAAGAAAAAAATTAAAGTAATTGCGAATAGTTAGTTTACGGGAAAAGGGATCGGTTCTTTTTCCCAGAAGCAATAACCGTGGGGATCGGTTCTAGAATCGATTCTTGGTCCTCCACTATTCGATAGATTATTCAGGTGCGAACAATAATTTACAGTGAATGTTTAGAAGAGGTGTCGTGCAGGCTTTATACAGGATATAATTCTCAACTAGGAGGCTATTATTTACTAATTACTATTGTAGAAGCCGGACAAGAGTGGGCTTCTTCATCAACTTGCCCAAGTGATCAACTCTTGACTGTAGGCTACTTGTCACAACTGGATCAAGAGAGATCGAATTTTCTTACAAAATGGCGAAGACCTAGACCTATTTGTTCAGTTGTTGCGTCGAGCTACGATTGTGAGACTGGGTGAACCGAGGCAAGGCCTATGGAGGCAGCAGGGTTTAACGAAGTAAGTAGAATTATTAGGTCTAAGTATGCTGGTCTGCTTTTACTTGTTAAAGGGACAGCCTACAAACGTTTACATTTATAACAGTTTAACTGGTCACTTTTTTCTTTAAATCACATCTTCTGGGGTGGCATCACGGTGAATGAATGAATGAATGAAATCTGGGGCTCCATATGAGTAAAGTAACTTTTTTTTCAAATTTTTGTGGTAATGATGTATTATGATTTAATGTGTATTGTCAACTGAAAAAAGTGATTGTTCTAGAAAACAGATCTAGATCTAGATCAAATAGATCAACCAAGTAGCAGTAGATATCTACTGGTTTTGGGGGTTGGTGCGTGTTGTTGTTTTTTTTTGGGGGGGTGGTGTTATGTTTGTTTGTTTGTTTGTTTTTTGTTTGTTTGATTTTTGGGGGTTTTGTTTTGTTTTGCAATATAAACTGGACTAATGCTAAATGAATAAGACAATAGGTCAATGTAACCTCCCCTGATGTTAACTACAGGAATAACAAGTCAATTACGAGAGGGTATTTTTTAGAATGAGCTATAATCAGGGCATTTTGTTCCTCTCAGCCTCGATATATGGGCCTATAGGCCACAGCAGTGCACAGCTGTCCACAGTAGACTTTTATTCTTATCACGCATGATGAGAACAGAGAACTCGCTTAAACGTAAAGGACACAAAAAGAAGGTACATTTCTTTGAGAAGTAGTTTGTTTTAGCAGACTATTCTATATAGCTTGCTTGTAATATTATGTCAGGTACAATGTAAGTTTATTAATAATCAATTGGTGGCTGAATTTAAACAGTTTTATGCAAGGTTGTGAGAGCTGGAGATGTGATGACATTGTTAAAGTTTTGAGGTTGGGGGAGACGCAGGCTAAATCAACCATATAACAGACGCGCCTGGTTTGGTGTATATGTGTGAGCCATCGTGGTGAAATCAGGCGCTCGTCAAAATGATAAAAACGAAGGAACGCATTTTTTTCACCAGTTTGGCAATTTTTCTAGAATTTTTTTTATATTTAAAAAAAAAACTTTTTTTTTTTTTTTTTTTTTGGGGGGGGGGGAGGTTCAACACCTTTTATGTCCATTCTCAAGCTACTGAAGTTACGGAACTTTGGCGGCCATTTTCTCACTAATTTTACCGCTGAAACCAGGCGACCCCACCTCCTTCAATCGCAAATATCTCAATCTCTATTCCAGATAGATTGGTATTTTTTTCAACGAAAGCAAGACAAATGAACAAGTTTTAAGATGACACCAATAACTCCACATGCCCAAAAATTGACGAGAGCCTGATTCCCCCACGCTGCCTCACATATACCTTTATTACAGAAAGGTATTGACTGTGTCTGGTTTCCTGTCAAAAGCAGTTATATACGATAATACATCATGTATGTTACTGCACTCAAGAAGGTCTCACACAAATTCTTCATTTTTTTATGTTAATGTTGGTTAAAGGAAAAAGAACGAACTTCAGCCCATATAATACCTTTGAGAAGGGTTTAAAGTCAAATATACCGTACATTTTCATTAAAAGACTCAGAATAAATTTGCAACTTTTTTAAAATTCCTTGCTGACTTTTTGTCCTCCATAGGTTCACGCACAACGTGGTGTATCGTATGGAAGAAAACGTTTACGGCCTCTTCTTATAAACCTACTAGATGCAAATCAGCTACCTGGACTGGAGTGGATAGACAAAGAGAAAAAGATATGGAGACTTCCATGGAAAACACATAAACAGAGTGTGCTGCATGAACCAGATGGAATAGTCTTGCAAGCAATTGCAAAGGTCATGTGGCCACACGAAGAAAACCTGAGCAAATGGAAGGAACTGTTACGGAATGCTTTGAAAAGCCTGAAGGACATTGAATTGATTGAAGAGGATAAAACTAAACTATTCAAAATATACCAGTTCTTGGAGGAAAAACCTAAAAAAAGGCACAAGAAGCCAATACCACCAACGTCAACTCGGTCAGGCTTCACTGGTGACATTGCCTCAGCTACAGCATCCTGTAGGACATCAGAAGGACCGTATGATGATTTTTTGGGACGTCCACAAGTGCAGCTCCACGACTTTACTGGACATTTGGAGGGGCAATTTACTGGGTTTCCTTTTACTGGAAATCCAGTGAATCAGGGTTACCGTAGCCGTAGCCCAATACGGGATGATCTGGGCCTTCCTTTAGAGAGTGCGGAATCCAACATTTCAGGCGACCATTCTTTGAATTTGGCGCCTGACTCAGATGATCAGAGATTGTTCAACAACTCTCAAGGCCAATCGGACCTTTCAACCTCGAGCTCAAATGTATTTACTCCTGAAGCAGGTTTTTACGATGGGCGTTTTAGAAAGATCCCGGATTTCAAGGCGTTGTTTGACTCAGAACAGAATAACAGCCCTGATGAACATGTGGTGCCTAACGAAAATAAGGCAGAAAATGATATTAGCTTCTCAACCTTAAATTTATGTGTAACGCAGAAGGAATCCAGTCACCATGATTTGCATGCTACTGAGAACTCAGTAGCTGTTAATAAAATATGTGGTGTGGACAAGATGTCAGTTCCATTGACCCACCATGAGTTGCAGAGTTCTCCTCTCCCTGTGGGTCCTCTGCCTGAATGCTCTCTCCCTGTACTACCAGTCCAGCCGAACCAGAACGAGCAGCCGTTGTTGACTGTCGAAGTGTATTACCACCGGTATTTGGTTGTACGAGTACCAGTGCAGAAGCCTTCCTTCACTATATGTCACAGTTTCAATCAATATGACAGCAGAGAAATACAACGTATCGACCTCGGGAAATCAGATCTGTACCCTGGGCTGAAGGAGGAGCTGAAGGAGAAACATGTGGTTATCGACGATGTTTTGGGTGCGATGAAGCGAGGGGTGCTGTTCTCAGTGCGGAATCACGACATATACGCCACCCGGCATTGCAAGGCGAGGGTTGTGTCTCAGATTCTCCCCAAGAACCCAAGTGGGAAAATTCTGGAGCGTCACTCGGAGATACAAATCTTTGAGTACGAGACGGGCTTTGTTCCTCTGCTGCAACGTTCTTTGAGATCCTCTTCAGGTCATGCAAAAATGCCCGAGTGTGTTGTGCGTCTTTCTGTTGGTAGCAAGGATGGCATCATCGATGACAGACCTGGAATCATCACAGTTAAGATTTACCACGAGCTTGCGAGACAGCAACTGAAGTTTGAGGAGGATAATCGGTTCCCTTCAAATGCTCCAGAATGTTCCAAGTCAGACAGTTATGATGACGTCGTAAACAGTTTACAGAACCTAATGACAGGAGAGGATGGGGAAGGTGACGAATAGACTCACTCATTAGGACAAAGATCGTGTATAACAAGATAGTTCACTCCTCTCTTTGAGCCAGTTAAAAAAGTGTCCTCAAAATTCGGTGGTGCCTTCTTCGAAAAAGGGCGGACTTTGCGAACAGTTACCCTACTTGTGTAAAACAAACAATAAAAGCGAAACTAAGAAACTGTGCTATTCCTCTTCTTCTTCTGGAGAAACGAAAGAGAGCTTCAAAACAAAGACTGAAGCTCCATCTGAACCAATGCGCGGACTTCCGCAGACACTTTTTTGGATTAGATAACTGTCTTGTTATGTTAGGATCTTTGAATAGGATGACATGCGTAAGATCCTGAGTTGTCTGGTCCTTAGGCTGCTGGACTTGTGAATATAAGGATGGGTGTTTAAACCCAGCCCAGGCCCGCTGTTGTTGTTGTGTCCTTGAAAAAAAGATGGAGATATATAATATTATGTTATATGTGAGGCAGCATGGTGGAATCAGGCTCTCGTCAAAATAATCAAAGTGAAGAAACTTGCATTTTTCCGCTGGTTTGTGAATTTTTATCAAATTTTTTTTTTTTTTTGGCTCAACACCTTTCATGCCCATTAAAGAACTCATTTCTGTGTGGGTTTTTTTTCTGAAAAACGTTGAATAAAGGCACAAAAAATGTAAATTTTCAGTTACCACGGACTCTTAAGCTAAGGAAATAACTAATCTTTGGCGGCCAATTTCTCACTAATTTTACCTCTGAAAAAAAGTGACCCCCACCTCCTTCTTTCGCAAATATCTCGACTTGTATTCAAGATAAATGGATATTGTTTTCATCAAGATAAAGATAAGTGAACAAGCTTTATTAAGATGATACCAATAACTCTACATGCCCAAAAATTGACGAGAGCCTGATTCCACCACGCTGCCTCACATATACAGTGGAGGCTGTTAAAACCGAAATCTGTGAGACGGTTATATTTTCTTCAGTTCTGATGTTTTTGGTTTAGAGAGATTGTCCAAAAGGGAGAGAAAAAATCGGTTATTCTATTTTCTTTCAGTTTACTGCTGTTTTTGGTTTTGGTTACCGTGTTCGGTTTAAATAAGCAGATTCCACTGTACAACTTTACTTTGACACTGTTACACATACTGCTATTGTGAAACAACTGCTCCTAAAGGTATTGATAAAGTCCTATTTTTCTTTCTTTTACTCGTTCCTTCTTGACTGACTCTCTCTCTCTCTCTCTCTCTCTCTCTCTCTCTCTCTCTCTCTCTCTCTCTCTCTGTGTGTGTGTGTGTGTGTGTGTGTGTGTGTCTATCTATCTGTCTATCTGTCTATCTCTCTATCTATCTATCTATCTATCTATCTATCTATCTATACTTTATATATCTATCTATCTATCTATCTATCTATCTATCTATCTATCTATCTATCTCTCTCTATATATATGTATATAGTTCCCACTTGGCTCGGTCCTTTCGAAGATGGACGTTTAACTCGTAGGTTTTGCCTTTAAAATGATCTATCAGTTTTTATAGGGACGTTAAACCTTTACCATTTTCACATATTCATTCGACCCCTTCCCCAAGCCTCCACCTCCTTTTCAACTCTGTGAAGACTGCAATAGAACTTTTTACTTGCTTGTATTTTTCAAAAACTTAACAGAACTATTTATTGTTGTTCCCAAACTTCCAAAACATCTCGTTTTCTTGTCTAGTCTTGTCATCCCTTTTTTAGGGCTGGTTCGACTCGCCCAATATTTTACTCTAAATGAAAAAAGCAACAACAGCAACAACAACAAATAACTTAATTTGTTCTTTTAATTCATCGCATTCTTCATACACATCATGATAGGTTGTTTTTTTGGGTTTTTTTGCAGATTCTTTCATGTAATAATACTATCGTTTTTTGTCTTCTTATCCTTTCGTTTCTCCTGTTTTGAAGTGTTTTACGGCTCTCCCAACTGCATAAAGTCAATTGAGCGCGCGGGACACATTAAACATTTTCAGTTGGTTGGAAATTTTGAATTTTGCCCAGGTGACGGTGTAAGCTTACTCTTATCGATTTTAGACCACCAAGGGATCTTTAACGTGCGCAACTCGTACACGGGAACTCCGAGATTTTTCGCCCTTATCTGAGAAGACTAGGTGTAGATCTTTCCTTCGAGAAGATCAGGGGTGTGGCTGAAAGACAGCAGTAAAAAGGAGCCAAGGAGTAGCAGTAGGAAGGCTGCAGAAAGAGTCAGGAGCTCAGAGGAAGGGGCAAAGGAGGTGATTGGGTGGGGACAGAAAATGGAGACCAAAGAAAACGACAGAACGTTGCTAGAGAGCAGGAAAAGATATGAAAGGAGACAATTTTAGAGAAGAAATGTTATTCCGTCGCTACCCGGATTCAAACCCGGGACCTTTGAATGAGAGGTGAACACATTGACCTCTAGGCCACGAGAGCCCCCTTCGTTTCTCCATCGACCGAAAATACAACAAATGCGTTACCACAGACGGTTGAAAGCGCCACTGGTAGGTTCTACTTCTTTTTTTTTCGCACCCTAAATTGTTACGGCCTATCTATTATGCTTCTTCTCTGCACAATAATAATAATATGATCGTTAGTCTGTCGATGTGTTTCTCTTTTCCCAGACTCTGGGAGTTTTCTTCTCCACATTCTTCTTAAACGACACAACATAATTTTTTCGTCCTTCCACATTTCCCACTTTTCCCTGCAGATCTTTACTTTGTCCACCTCACCTGCCCCCCTCATTCTTTTTCTCTTTCTCCCTCCTCTCCCCCCCCCCTCTCTCTCTCTCTCTCTCTCTCTCTATCTCTCTCTCTCTTTCTCTCTCTCACTCTCTCTCTCTCTCTCTCTCTCTCTCTCTCTCTCTCTCTCTCTCTCTCCCTCTCTGTCTCTGTCTCTCTCTTTCTCTCTGTAAAACTTCCGGCGCTGCTCCGTGGCGACGAGACTTTCACAGATCTCCGTATTTTGGATAATATTTTTACGCTTACTCAATTTTTACACGGTCTTGTGATAACTCGATAAGATTATGCCCCTTTTTATCATTCTATGATTGAAAGTGTGCTATTATTTTGTATTTGCTGCTGGGGTGGGAATTGTAAGGTGAAAGATAAAGAAAAATTTGACAGAACCATTAAGAAAGCCAGCAAGATCTCTGGATATGATTTTATAAGAATGGATGAAATGTATAACACCACATGTATAAAAAAGATAAAAAGCATTATAAACGACCCATCACACCCCTTTTCCACACAAATTGTAAGATCACGCAGCGGCAGATATGTACCTCCAAAAACAAAGAAAGAAATATATAAAAGAAGTTTTTTACCATCTAGCATAAGGCTTTTGTCAGAATGAGCATAGATGTTTGTTGCTCTTAGAGTATATATCTGTATATAACTCCAAAGGTCTAGTATTTAAATTCCTGCATGTGGTTAAATGATGCATTTGATGTAAGTGTACATTTTGTCAGCTTTACTTCTCCTTTCGTGTTGAATTTTAATGAGAGTAATATATATGATTTAAATTTTTTTATGTATACCTGCATGTGTTTTTATGGTCCTGTACAGCCAAGGAATAGTTCCCTCTGGGATAATAAAGTACTATCTTATCTTATCTTATCTTAAAAATGTAAAACCAGGTTGTAAAACAAAATAATATGTTGGTTATTACTACAAGGCATACATAAAGACGGACAAATAGTGTCTAAAACTGAGATTGTAACGATTGAGATAACAACTAATCAAATTCATTTGGATGACAAAGAAATCAGAATTTTTTGACTTCTTAGACCACAACTTGTCTTTTCTACAGTCTAGTCAGTGCAACTTTAGTCGTAAAACTGCAGAACTATGTTGTAAAGCAAAACAATATGTGAGGCAGCGTGGTGGAATCAGGCTGTCGTCAAAATAATCTAAGTTAAGAAACTTGCATTTGTTCCCCAGCTTTGTGAATTTTTATTTAAAAAACATTTTTTGGCCCAACACCTTTCATGCCCATTAAAGAACTCCTTTCTGTGTGGATTTTTCTGAAAAACGCCGATTAAAGGCACACAAAATTTAAATTTGCAGTTACCACGGACTCTTAAGCTAAGGAAATAACTAATCTTTGGCGCCCATTTTCTCACTAATTTTACTTCTGAAAACAGGTGACCCCCATCTCCTTCTTTCTCAAAATAATATCTCGATTTGTATTCAAGATAAATGGATAATCCAAATAAAGACAAGTGAACAAGGTTTAAGATGACACCAATAACTCTACATGCCCAAAAATTGACGAGAGCCTGATTCCACCACGCTGCCTCACGTAATAATGTTGGTTGTTACAACTAGTCACACACAATAATAAGACATACAGTGTCTAAAACTGTCGGTGTAACGACCGACATGACAACTTACTAAAGTCAACGACACAGGAATCAGAATTTTTGGCTTCTCAAATCACAATTTGGCTTTGCTTAAATCTAGTCAATACTAAGCTTTCTCTTGCTCTCTCTCTCTCTCTCTCTCTCTCTCTCCTTCTCTCTTTCTCTCTCTCTCTTTATCTATCTATTTATCTATATATCTATCTATACATCTCTCTCTTTCTCTCTCTCTGTCTCTCTCTTTCTCTCTGTAAAAGGGCAAAACCAGGTTCTAAAAGGAAATAATATGTTGGTTGTTACAACTAGTCAGATACAAAAAAAGATATATAAGGCAAAACGCTAAGAGTGTAATAACTGACATAACAACTTAATAAATATCTTTGGATGACAAAGAAATCTAAATTTTTAGGCTTCTCACACTATACCCTGGCCTGGCCATTGTCTAGTCAGTGCAAAAATAATTATAAAAATGTAAAAACCGGTTCGTAAAAAAAGTAATATTATGTCGGTTGTTACAAATAGTCGTGCACAAAAATAGTTAATATCTAAATCTTAGAGTGTAACCAGAAGGTTTACAGTAAATTACTGTAAACCCTCTCAGGTGTAACGATCTAAAATACAATTTTGAAAAGTCAGTTTTGACAACTAATAAACAAACTTTTTATGTTTCTCAGATCTCAGCTAGGTGTGGCCAGAGTCTAGTCAGTATGACGTTCTTTGCAAAAGTGCAAAACCAGGTTCTAAAACAAAAAAAGATCTTGGCTGTTACAAATAGTCACATACAAAAATAGACA